AAAAAAGATGGGGTGGGGGGACAGGGAGAAGCAGAACCCCTTTTGAAGAAGCCTATAATAGGATTAGTCACCATTGCTTCAGCATACCACATTTTGGCTCAATTTGACAACAATAAGTAGAGAAACATGAAGCAGAAATGGCCCAGAAAAGTCTCAAGTCCATCTCTCACTTAAAGCTATGAGCCTGGAAATCAGTGAAGTCCTGATTTATTCTGACGTGTTTCTTGTTGCTCCAAATCTCCACTCCTCAGTTACTATAGGCACAAGAAGAACCCAAAACAACATTACTTAAATGCTAGATGGTAGATAATCCTTAAAAAATTTGCCAAATTTAGAAATGAAAGTTTACGCCCTGATTGTTGTAGATTACTTAAGAGACAAGTAGGTCATGTTTTCATAGGGCTTAGAGCACCTGTTCGAAAAAAGAATAATACATATTTTATAATTATGGACTGTTTCCATTAGAGTTACATTTCAAGTGATTTAAGAATGTACACTATTGGAAGCTCCCTTTTTCTCCAAGAGTGAATTAATAAAGTTCACATTTCATGGATTTATTCTAATCAAAACATAAAAAAGAAGTTTGATGCTGGTACCTTTTACAAGAATATATTAAAAAAGGGATACAACTTCCCAACCAAATTCTAATGATTAATATGTATTAGAATAGACTTTTCTAAAAACTGAAAGAGTTCTACTCCATATTTATATTATATATTTGAAACAAATAATTTTTCTGACTATTTTATTACTTTTACTTATATATGAGCAGTATATGAGGGAAACCAATTGCCTGTAAGGTGGCTTTCTGTGACCACCACCTATAAAGGGTATTCCATCCTGTGTAGCAGCAAGTAAAATCAAATTTTTGGATACAGAAAGCACAGGAAATAAAGGTGGACAAAGAGAAGGTGAGTACCTAAGCTGAGATAACTCAGTAGATCTCTGACGGGATAAACCAATCGTTCCATCGGATAAGCCTTCAAATGCCTTCTGTTCCAGGAGGTCTCCCTGGCCATCCTAGATATCATATTACCTTAGTTATTTCCTTGTTATTTATCTCATTATAGTTATGAGCTGTGTAACCTTGGGAATGTTACTTTTGTGTGCCTGAATTTCCTAATGTGTAAAATGAAGATAATACTACTACCCCACCTCACAGTACTGTGAACTTAAATGAGATAATACACGTCATATGCTTAGAACAGTGCCTAGCATATAGCAAGTATTTATTAACTATTAGCTATTGTCATCATCAGTTTACTTGCTTATTGACCATCTCCCTCACTAAACCTTTAGGTCTATCAGGGTAATTTCTTTGTTTGTTTTGTTCATGACTATATTCCTATTGCCTAGTACACAGAGGGACATAGTAGGGGCTCAAAAATAATTCCTGAATAAATGCTGTCTTTTATTCTCACATATCTTTAAAATAAACTTCCACCGACGAAGGTAATTTGTGTACTTGTAACCAAAACAGTCATCAAGAAAACTTCCCTAGGAAGCTAAAATTATCATTTAAAAAAACAAAAACAGAAATAAAAACAAGACACTTGATCATAAGAAAGGGCTCTCCTGGGCCCACCAACCAAGACCACAGAATATGATTCTTTTCTATATTAGTATGTGAAGGTCAAGCTCCCTGATGCCACAGTGTTATAACCATCAATTTAGCCTATAAAGAATGGTTCCCAATTCTGATAGAAATTCTCAGATTTCAGTCTGTTTTTCTCTTGTTATTATTTTCCAATGTCTTAAAAAAACTATATTTCTCATTTTATCTTCACCACAAAACCTGGTCACACTCTGCTGTGGTTTCTAAGTTACAGCTACTGTAGCCTCATTTTCTTGGATGGACTTCTTCAGAGGTCCTGACCCAGTGCTGACACTTGGTCTATTCTTAGAGTGGCACCTCGACATATTAATTCCTTTTACCTTCCACTGGTTGAAAGACAACATTCAGAGGTAGAGGTTGCATACGACATAAAAGAAAGTCCTCGGGGATTTAGAATCCTTCTTTCGACAGTGTCCGGAGGAATACGATCTAAAGAGCTCACAGTTTTGCAGACATACATGCACAGTACAGCTCAGCTACTCATGTTTTACAGCTTATCCACATTTGCTGGAACAATCATGGATTTGTTAGAAAACACCAACAACCAAGGAGTGACAGCACAGGTGAAAAGCCAAGCAGACCCAGAGGAGAAAATCAGCAGAAAAGCCTTCCAAAAACAATTTCAAAGAGTACTTTTACCATCGTTTAAAGGTAAATCCATCCTTACATGTATGAGAATCAAAAGTTGTGAAATTGAAACAGAGATGGAAGTGCACAGTTAACGTATTTTTTTTTTTAAAATGCTTCCTATTGTTTAGAACCAGCTCCAACTGTATCTCCCCAAAGGCCAGTACTAAACATTTAAATGGCAATGAATCGAAGTCACCAGATAAGGCCATGTGATAAACTTTGTGAAGTTCAGTTCATAAGAGAAAATTCAAAGAATGTAGAAAGTATAGCTAGAAAAGTCCTCAAAGTATTATCTGGTTAGGCCTGCAGCAACATTAGGCAGTATAGTGACTTGGAGACAGTAGAGAGTACCGCTTTTGTAATACTACAGACAAGGCCTGATTCCTAACTCTGCCACCTATTAGCCCAAGAACTTAAAGAAGCTATTTTAACCTTCCTGAATCTCAGTTTCCTCATCTACAAAATAGAGATAATTATAGTACCTATGTCAAAGAATTATAGTGGCTGAGACAGTATGAGTTTAATTTTTAAAAGTTTATTATAAAATATAATTACATTATTATCATCATGTAAGACTTTATTATACCCATTTTATAGATAAGGTAATTGAAGCCCAGAAATTTACTCAAGATTACAGAGGGAGGACTTACAAGAATAAGAATGTCTTCTTCTTGGGGCAGTACTCTTTTTACTTCATTGTTTCTATGAATCAGTACAAAATGGAGGCCTGAGAAAGAAGGCTTTTCACTAGAGAAATAAAATTCACAATCAAAGTAAAATCAGTGGCTCCTGCTATTCAGGTCTTGTCTACAAAATACTACTTCCCATTCCATCATACATCCACATCTTTCAAGTCTTTTTTTTTTTTTTTAAGGGTTTTAGAGCCTCAATGCTAGTTCACTTCTCAAAATAACTTGCCTCAGGCCAACATGGTATCTTAGAGTAATAGAAGGGTTAGTTATGTGCCATTCACATATATGGCATATTTTTTAGTTTCCTGAGAACAAGAAACAGATCACTTGGCAACTAGATTTCTATCAAGGCTGTGGAAAATTTTAAGTTTTTTTTCATCAGTGTACTGGTAGATAAAAGTTCTGGTCAAAGGCATTCTGAAACAGTTATGAGCCTTACCACTGACTCTCTAGAGTTCAATATCAGTTACACAGACCAGTGGGGTTCATTTTTGAGTGCTACACACATGGCAGACAGCTTCTTAAATGGCAGAATATAAAGCTTTATCAAAAAAAGTCAACAAAAAAGAGAACAAGAGATATTCTTTATTATCAACAAGGTTGAGCATAAGAGTATAGTATTGCAATAATTTAAAATATAGATACAACTGTAGATTTGACAAACATTTACCTAACATCTATTATATACTAAGCACTGTGCCAGGCACTGGGAATACAAAGATGAAGAAGTAATGAATCCTACCCTCAAGGAGCCAATGGAATAGAGAAAAGACTTATAAAGGAGATGGGTGTAGGGAGGTAGGAAGTAAAACGAAAAGAGCCAGGAAGAAGCATTGCCCCCGAAGAATCATATTTCACTTGGCAAGAAGACTCAAGAGTGTTGGTACAGATTAGATGGCCTAGAAACTTAACCCCTAGGCTTGTCAGTTCTGTAAAAGCAAACAAGGTTATTCAATTTGTCTTTATTCCCTGCCCACCTTATTTGCTTCAGCCCACACCAGGAGAACAAGTAGGATTCTTTTCTCTACTTCATCCTCTTTTAGAACACTGGAAGAAGGGACAAGCTCTCCTTCTCTGTTTTTCCCAGAAACTTGAAATTCCAATTCATAGAAATCTAGATTTTATTTGCAAGCCCTATTGCTCAGCAAAAGAGTTAAGGAGAGTCGAGAATTCCACTAAGAGAAACCCAAGTTTAGGCCATTAGAATAGCTGTCTGATCTCCGAGGAACCTCTGGAGAATAGAAAGAAACAAAATCTGTTTTCAAGGAGGATGGACTTGAGTTCATGATTTACCTTCAACAGAAGCCTGTAAGAGGCTACTCATTCATTCTTATTATGCTCCTAATAAACTAGAACAAAAGGAAAGAGAATCCAAATGATTATATAAATATGTAATGGCATGTCAGTAATAAAAATAATGCTCTGCATTTCTTTAGCGAATCCTTTCACGAAGGCCGAGGTGTTTTAAAGTGATTATCTGATTCAGCCTAAAAACAGTTCCATGATGTTAAAAAAGTAGTAACCATTTTGACTTTTACACACCCCAAGTACGCTTTACAAAGAAGTATAACCCTTGAAAGATATATCCTATGAACATGTCCTGCCTCTAGAAATACTTTTAAATCACAAATGGTTGATACCAGATGCTGCAGAATGAAAACTACAGAGAAATATCATCCTAAACATTTAAATGAAAAAGAGCTGGCCGTGAAAAACATAGGCTAAAGGTACACTGATTAAAGGAAATCAGAGTGAATATTTTGAATAATATAGAAAGTTAAAAATTATAAGAGGGACCTACAGAAACAGATCTCATAGATCAAACAAGTAGTTGTTGAGCTTCTGTAATCATGACCATTCATGAGACTTATTACTGGACAAAACTAGCTGCTCCAAAGGCATGTTCCAAAACATGCTTAGGCAGCTCTGGACCAAACTACCAAAACTAAGCATTCACTGCCACTACACAGTTAGCATTGTTCTGCTCTATTCTTCATGTACCTTGCCTGATCCCAACTGTCTCCTCTGGGTTCACCCTATTGGCAAAACATTTATATACTTACTATTCAGTGAAGAACCTGGCAATGCCATATTGGCTAATATCTTCCTTATTCTCTAGCAGCTGGCACACTGCATCCTCCATGTACGTAAGGACATGTCGCTGAGCTGCAAAAAAGGAAAAAAAAGAGAGAGAGAGAGAAAAAAAAAGTGAGAGATAGACAAAAAAAAAATAAAAAATAAAAGTCCTCCCAACCCTAGTAGGAAGCCATGAAAGTCAATCAAGGTGTTGGCTCTACCCTCGGAAGTGGACTGGAACAGGCCAACCAAACTTGCTAGCCCTAACGGAGCTATATTTCCAAAGGGCACAATGGAAGATGATGTAGAATGTGACCTACTGCCATCTGATTGGCTGTCAGTATTAACATGGACCCTTCACTCTTCATTTCAGTGATAAGGGTGAGCTGAAGATGAGCACCGTTAAGCAAATATGCCTGAAGTTCTTTTCTTCTACCCTCTTCCACTTCTGCATGAAGAAACTTATCCCAGGGAAGAGTGATTCCATTTGTAAAGCATAAATGATCTGACTGCAAAGAAAACTCAACTCTTTAATTTAAAAAAAAATCACTGAAAAGTTTAAGGACCATGAAAATTTCAGTATTGGTGTTATAAGTTATTAACCTTGGAAAATAATAAGACTATGAAATCTGTGTAGCTTGATTATCAGAAATTATGTTTTCTGCATTTGTTGTGACTGGTAAATGTGTGAATTAATTATGGGTTTATAAGAAAGAATGTGAGTAGCAGAATTAGGTAGAACTGAGTTTGAATCATAGCTCTGTCTTTGGTAACTTAATCTTGGATAGTTATTTAATTTGTACCTCTTTTCTTCTTTATCAAGTATGGAAAGAAACATAATTTAACTCTTTCTCAAAATATGGTCAATCAATTTGTTGATCTGAATCACCTAAGATATCTCTCTTGTTAAATGAAAATTTATAATCTGGCACCATCCCAGACTTAATGACAAATTTCTAACTGGAGGCCAGTAATCTTTAAAAGTACCCATGGTGTCTATAGCCATGCTATCCTGAACAAACCCAATCTCATCTGATCTTGGAAGCTAAGCATGGTCAGGCTTGGTTAGTACTTGGATGGGAGACCACCTAGGAAGACCAGGTGCTGTAGGTGTAAAAAATAAAAATTGTAAGCTGACAACGTCCTTACAATCTGTGAGGTCAACCAAGAGTTGCCTTGCCTAAAAAAAATAAAAATAAAAGTACCCATGGTGGTGCTTCTGCATCCTAAAATTTAAGAATCACTGGTTAAGAACTTGAATTTTGGAATTCAGAGAGACCTGAGTTCCATTTTCAGCCCTACCAATTCCTGGCTGTGTGACCTTGAGCAAATTACTCTCCAAGCCTATTGCCTTATTATAAAATGTGGATAATAATATATTCACTGTTTGGAATCATAATATTATATGTACCTACATCATAGGGTTATAAGAATTAATGTTTTTAATGCATGTAAAACATGCATTACCTTACTAGGTAATGCCTATCTTGCTTGTTAATATATTTTCTTAAAAGCCTACCTCAAAGGGTTACTGAAGTAAACAACATACGCCATAGCCAGCACTCAACAAATGCTTGTTCCTTCTGCCTGAATTTTATCTTTAGGTATGACAATGTATCTTGGCACATTTCACATAGAAACATCCAATTTAGTGTTTCCCTTTACCATTCGAAAACAATTTTAAAAAGAACAAAAAAACCACAACTTTCTTTTGGAGAGTGAGAAAAAAAAACCCTAAAATGATGAATATCTTGACAAAAAGCAATTCCACGAAGTTATTGCCAAGATGTACATTTGTCTCTTTCACAGTTTTATTCCTCAAGAAAATATGGAGAAATTACCTTCAATTAATAAAAATGACCTAAAATTAATAAAAATGAGTGTTTCCAAAAACTATTCCTGAAGTCCTGGTGGTCCAGTAAAACTTATAAAACAAATAAGTTTATCTACCCAAGCCTTACTCAAGAGAGTCTTCATTTGACTATGGTGACCTAAGGTTCCACCACATTTGCACCAGCCTAAAGTCCAGATGAACGAGATGTTTACATTCCATTACGTATTCTATTGAGTGCTTCCCAAAGCTAACAACCATCAATCAATCACTGCAAACGTTCCCCAGCCTCCCAGCCCCCAAAAGGTGTGAAGACAAAATCAGTATTTCATCAACAGTTCTTCCAACTGGAAAACTATTTCTCTAAGAAATGGCCAAACTGAGTGAAGCTGTGAGATAATATCTGCCAATTTTTGGTACTGATTGTTTTATAATTAAGTATATATTAAATTGGGAGGAGAAACAGCCAAACTAAATTAATATCAGCTACATTTTCACCTCTGCATTCTCCTTCCCTTCTTCCATCCACTTATCCTGATCTTACGAAAGAAAAAAAAAGATTTCTTCCTTGGGCTACATTGGCTTTTATGACTTAGATCTACTTAAGGCTAATACAAGATTTTTTTTAATGGTAGGAATGAAAGAGCTCTATCATACTTAGAAACAAATCCTGCTACTTCTCCTCCCTAGCTCCAAGTACTAAAAGTCAATATGCAGGCCCTTCAAGGGAGAAATGTTTTCAGAGCAATTAAAATCAAGGTACTTTTGTCCTCCTAGAAAGAAAAGAGGAATTTTCTTGAAAACAGACTAAAAAAGCGGGGGAAGGGAGAAAAGAAAGACAAAGGATTATATCTATTTAATATTCATCTACCAATCAGATGTTTAGAGTTTAATATTACATATAATAATGATAATAACAGCTACCAATTTCGACCACTTGTGCAACTTATTGAACAACAATGTGCCAGATACTGTGCTGTTTCACATGCATTATTTTATTTGTCTTCACAATAATCCTATGGTAGGTATTTTGATTACTTCCATTTTACAACTGAGATTTATAAATTTAAAGAAACTTGCTCGAGATCACACATCTGGTAGAACAGAAGCCAAGATTCAAACCAAAGTTTGTCTCATACCAAGAATCCATGCTCTTAACACTGTACCATATTGCCTCATCAGGGACACTTCATAATCAGTTTTGGAAGTAAATATGACCTTTATTTTACACACAGCACAAAGGCAAGTGTGTATGTTGATAGCAAAACCACCTGAGAGATGTGGTCCATTTGTGTCTATGTGAATTCACAGTTTCGGGGGGGAGGGTTCTCTCCCCACCTGCATAGCTATGCATGCCAATCAGCATTTGTATGAAGTTAGAACTTGTCCTCAAATTTTGAAGTTTTTTACAAAGAACCACTCCACCACAAAGTATTCACCCTACTCATCCCTAGTTCGCAAAGTGGAAACAGAAAGCCCGGTGCTCTTTTCATCTGTGAGAGAAGGGAAGAAGCTAAGAAGATCCAGCAGAAGCAGAAAAAGTTTCCTCCCTGCGGAGACTTTCACACAAGCCAGCACGAAGAGCTCTAATTGCTGCTCTCTGGCGGCTTCCTTCACCTGCAGCTCTTATCAGTCCAATGTTCCCTCTGTGGTTAAGTGTACCACCCAACCCTGGAAAATCCTTGCAGTTTATCAAACTTCAATGGGACAGAAGTTCAAAGCTCTTGCCTGGCAATAAAACATGGAGAGTTTCGTTTTATATTATTTTTTAAATGCAAAGGAATAGGCTTTAATTTATGTGAATGATTAAAGAATAAAAACTGCACACCTGCACCCCTGGAGGGCAAAGATATCTGGGCACCTTAGCTGCCCTCTTAAAAAAGGAAAAACATTTCAGATTGGTTTTTCTCTTCTGCTTTGCTTCAACTTCCACTAGACCAGGATTAAGTATGTTTTGTAACACATCCCAGTGAGACTCTGTTGTTCTGAAATTCATACTAAAACCCAAGCATCCATGTCTTGCTCGACAGCATCACTGTCTGAGATAAGCACTTATAACTTAAACATGAGTCACTGAAAAATCTAAGTGAAATATTAGTAAACACTGTATGATCTTTACATGATCTTCTCAAGTGAAGGCAACTGTAGATCAGAAACTTCTTGGTTCTGTTGAATCATCTCTTACTGATCACTTAATCTCATATCATAGACATTCGTATGATACTAAGAATGATATGCCTAATAATAAACAACTTCTTAGGAAAACATTACATATGTATAGAAGGTAACATATTAATGATTGTATTATTATTGCTACATACTGATTCTACAGGTTAAAATGATGTAGTGATTTATTGCAATGGCTAAAAATGTAAGTGCTGCAATCAAGCTGACTTGGATTTGATTTCTAGCTCTGGAAATAGTAACTGTGAGACTTTAAGCAAGTCACCTAATCTCTCTGCCTTTTTCTATAAAACTGGGGCATCGTACCTACCACCTACAGTTGTACTGATTAAAAAAAAATCATGTAATAATCTTAGCATACTACTTGGCACATAGTAAGTGTGCAATAAATATTAGCTATTTTTATTATTGTTGTTATTATAATTGATACTATGTACCCTCTCAGACATTATAAAACTCACAAGACAATAGAGTTTTAACACTAATGAACACCGAGACCAACCTACTATAGCCCCTTACTCACTTATTTAAAGTTCTGTTCATCCAACCAAGGATATTTATACATTATCTCCAAAATTTCCTGGGCTATATAAAATCCTACACAGATAATAACAGTACACAATCATATATCCATTTTAGCTATAGCCTTTAAACTTGTGGGAAGCATTCACTTATTAACTGCTACTCAGGAGGCTCTAGTTTACATGGGGAAAGTCCAAAACTATTTCTTTTTATTCCCTTCCAAAGCGTAAATACCATCAAAGTATTAGCTGTTTATTTTGTAATTAAATGAGAAGGGGTCCCATTTGGAAATTTTTGCTTGAGGGGCCTAGAATTTCCACCTACAACATTAGTTAGAAAACTATTATTATTATTATTATTGTTTAGTACACAGTCCCTATTCTAGAATAAACAAGTCTTACTGAAAAAAATTCACATGATGTGATATTGATATATACAAGAGTAATAGCAGTGTAAGAGAAAAGCAGAGTATATACATGTATTCAACTTTAAATCTGACTTTTTTCTCCTTTGCCAGAGTCCTTCTGAGACACAGTTTGGTTTTTGATGTCTC